AGCGGGCAACTTCAAAAATCTCCATGAGCTAGGTAAAGCCAGGGCGGCACATTCGACAGGACTCGGCGATGCAGACGATTGCGTTCTTTAAGTTCTCATTCTGGCTGCTGCCCATGCCCAATATCCTCAAGATGGCAGACTGCATGCATAGCAGATGCTGATCCCCGCGGCCGGCACTTGAGGATGGATGCGAAATCATATGTCGGGAATGCGGCGGAACGCAGCCGAGGTTTTCGGGGGGCCAGTGCCGGCGGGCGGACCATGATGCACACACCACGCAGCAGACCCTTAAATTGCTGAAATGGATCTCGAGCCCCCCTCCCGTACAACTCAAGATCGTCACACAACGAGCGTTTGGCATGAGACGAAACATGGATTGCGCGTCAGAGAGAGATAGATGGATTGCAAAACCACCAAGCGGACAAATGCGGTCTTTCCGACGACACGCCGTCCGGTTAAACTACATGTGCAAAGACTGTTGGGGCCAACAATCGGAGGTGCCGCAAACTACGAAGAACCTACCCAGAGTTTATTGACCGGGCGGCGGCGGTATCCTAAGCAAAACCGCGAAAATATGCCACCCCCCCTCCTTCCCACAGGAAGCTTGGGCCATCACGGTTGAGATCTGGGCCGCCCAACGGATGCGGGGGGCGGCCACGGCAGCTGGAACAGGATGATCATGAAGCTAATTAACCTGACAAGCCTCACGAGCCATATTTCGTATACTGGCCATTCACGAGCTGGCCTTGACAAGGCTCGACATAGCTGAGGAGCTTTTCCGTTTGTCAAAAGTGGATTCTCAGCACACATGTGCCGACGACGTGGCGGCGCGAGTCAACCATCCCAGTACCGATCGTCCTATCGTCCTCCATGTCAAGGGAGAAGGGGCGTGGCCAGGAATGTCGAAGAAATGCATCCTTCGTCTTGATGGTGCAATGGACGATGCTCATTTCGACCATGGCATTGCTAGATGACGTTGGTTATCGGTCTCGTCCACGTTGGTATGCAAGTGAAGGTGATCGCGCTTTGCCCACCTCTCGTCTAGCTTCGTTGTCCAGCTCGTTGTCCAGCAGGCTTCCGACGCGAGACAACGACGTGGGCCGAGCACGTGAGATTGATGCCATGTTAGCCCCTTGGAGACTACGATGGACATGTACTGCAAACAGGAGGAAGGCGGCGGCATTGTCGACGGCTCCGCATCCATGGAGGTCGATCGTGGGGCGACTCGGGCCTTGCATGCCCTGTGAAGGCCGAAATGGCACCAGTAACAAATGCCTCGTTCTGGTGGAAGCGAGCAAAGGAAAGGTCCATCAGGTGAGCGATGGCTATCAGTGCACGAGTATGGCTATCAGGTACCAGACTGGGGGTTCTGACCTACCCTGGCACCAACGGCCTGACTAACCCTCTTACTCCGGATCTCCGGTCCACGTTGGGTCCACTGTTTCTCTCGACCAGTCTTTGCCCGAATAGGCTCTACAAAGCGAAACTGGCTCTGAATGGCCGGCCTCTCTGGACTGCCGGGGCAGATCTGGGACTAGGCGGCGACGGCGGCCGGGGCTATCATAAATTCCCATACCATATGGACATGGATTCGTACTTTACAATGGACAAGGCGCCCAACACGATCCGAATGAAGTCATTGCCGAGATCGTACGCTCCGGACAAGACTGTAAATTCATTACCCGCCTACAGCCCACATGCGTCTGGAAAGCCATGGTGGGACGGAGGGAAGCATCAGCAACTTGACTTTGCCCATTATTGAAGGTTTCGTGGCAGAATCGGGTTGGGGTCTCACAACACCCACGCACATGACTTCCATCGCAGGTCCTTCTCGATCTCTGTTTTTCTCGCTCTCAGGGGTGCAACGTGGGCACTCCGCCGGCAAATAGTGGCCCCCTTTTCACCAGCCCGTGCCTCGATACGCCTGCAATGCGCTCTCCCTTGCTCCGCCCCTGGCCCCTACCATTTTGACGATGAGCACCTCCAAGACGCGCTAGGAACTCTTCTCGACGTTTCTTCTCCACTCGACAGAGAACCCCCCCAAGAGCAATCGATGGACCCCTGCGTGCAACTGCAATAGGCAGGTGCCGTGGCGGGCAAATGACTGCTCCTCAAAAATACATCCGTGAAGTAGGCTGGCGTTGAGGCACAGCATGGAAGAGTAGAGGAAAGCGCACAATACACCCTCCACACGGCAGAAGAGGCAGCCCGCTGGCCCAGATTGGCCATCCGGACATTGGTTGACATCGCTTCATGTGCTCCCTAACACGAGCCCGAGCCGTCGGGTGCCTCAGCAGACGCCATTCTCTGATTGAAGGAATTTATGCGTCCGACCCCCCCTCTCCCCCCCGCGCCCACCGCTTCAGGCCAAATAAGCCCCGCCCCAGGAGGACGCGGCGCAGGTTGACAGGCCTCACGGGTCGATGACAGGTCTGAAAGGCCTCTTGGCAACGAGAACTGGGAATACCAACCGTCGTCATCTTCTCGGGTGAAGCTCGTCGCAGACTTGGCAGTTCGCTCATGCCCAAATCGCTTGGTACGGTGCGGGTTGCGTGATACGGTTCTCACCATGACAGGCTTGCGAGCGAATTCTCCCTGCTCTGCATCCGCACCTTGATGCACCGTGTCTTTGTTTGCCTGGCAACCGCCTGGGACGCCCATCAGGTACCTGGCGTCAGCACAGCCAAGATAGACCCTGAGATCGAACCCGCTTGTCTCGAAATGAAGGGGGCGTCGTTCGACTCGATGAATGTGTCCCATCCACATGAGGGCGTCGAAGCGACTGGCCACTCAAGAGACTGCTGCTTGGTACCTGCTGGCCAAACCCCGCCGCAGCTGGAGGCTGGTATCTTTGTCGTTGCCAGCCGCTGTCAAATTAGCAACGATGAAGAATAGACGCACCGTCCTGGTTGTTGCAACATGGCCGGCATACTCCCAAAGCCTGGGACCCATTCCTCGACCGACCAAGCCGAACTTGTCCGTTCTGTTACACGCTGCACCTCTGCAGATTGCGATAGGGCGAGACGTAGAACGCAAGCGCGATCGCGGCGTGTCTCCGGCCACATAGGCTGAGAGTTTCCAGGAGTTGGCTCATAGCCTTCGCTCTAACGGACGACATCCGGCCCTTTTCCAGGCCACGCCTCGTCGTTACAGGCGCGACAGCAACATCGTCAACCTCTCGCGGCAAGTGAAAGCCGACGACGACTGAGTGGCTGCCCCCTTCCAGTTCACGTCACGCTTCTGCCGAGCAGTAACGAGCGAGGCTCGCTGTCGTCTTTCATGGGACGGAAGTCCGCTCCGGCGGACAGCTCGCTTGGCCTGCGGCGCTGTTCATCGGTGCCTGCTCAGAAACGGCACAGCACCACCAAGCACTTCGGAAAGATGTGCTTCCGGCGGTCAAACGGCCCTTGCCTTTGTTCAACCTGTATTTTGCGGTGGGATGGGTGGACTCACTTACAACGCGGTCGTGGCCATCAACACGTCAGCTTTCGAGCGATGCAACAAAGATGCGACATCGACATGTCAGCCAACCGTCTTGTTGCATCAGTGGCGAGCGGCCGAATGGCACGTCAGGCACCCGATCATCTTCCGCTGTCGACGGATGGCAGAAGCAAGAAATGGGGTTGATAGCCTGGGGCCTGGGGGGGGGGGTCTTGGAAGTGCGGCCACGGTACTCGAAAGGGGGGTTCACGCCGGCCCGAAAAGGGCTGACACTGGCCCCCAGGACCAGCATGCTTGCACAAACCCACCACGGACCGTGTAGCGCCAACGCCCAGTCTGCAGCGCTCAGTTGCCAATGCCGGGCCCTGGGTATGGCAGGTGATCCCACTGCAACACAGGCCAACGGGTGGGAGGGCCTCTCACGAGGCCTCAACGGCACAGCGAAAAGGTCCGACGGGCGCGGCATAGGGCACAGCCTACAGAGCAATCGGCCAGGGGTGCCGCCAGAGACCAGCGCCCGTTCGGTGCCATGCCAGGGCAGGACGCAACTGCACCATCCTATTCTCAGGTTCACCTACATCGTGCGTCTGCTCTCCACACCCCCGTGACAAGGGGCCGGGTCGGCGCGCACGCCTGCCCAAATGGTTGACAGCCTGGCCGCAAGTCAAAGTCGTGGCCAGCAACCCATGAAAGACAGGGTCGTGTGTGATTATGGAAGGAAGGAAGGAAGGAAGGAATGGCAAAATGGTGTCATCGCCCGACCTCTCGCGTCAAACTTGCGTGTACTTGGACGTCTTGATTTGGACCTCATTCGATCGTGCCACAGATACAGGCCTGCCCTCCCATCACCGGCTGAGTGCCAGTCCATTGCGTGGAAGGAATATGGAGGAGGTATGAAGCCAGCCATGCTCAGTTTTCTCTTGAATTCTCAACGAGGCCCCCTTCTCAACATACAGAATAGCGTCAGTCTCTGCCTGCCAAGGCCTGTTGGTTGCCATCACCAGCTGACCACATGCCACCGAGTTCTATAGGGTAGGTACCTGCCTGCCTGTCCCGCAAAGCCGTTGCCGACCAAAAGGCTGCGCAACATTACCAACCGCCATGACAGTATAAGCGAATCTGCTGCCCGCGACCCAATGCAGACGATCCTCGACGTCGACCGATGAGTCGCCTCACCACCAATCACCGCGGAGCGCGGCTGCCCGGCTTCCCACCCCCTTTGCAACACCAGATGAGCACGACGACAGGGGCGGCGGGGCCCAGCCAGCCTGCCAGTCAGGGCTCGCTGTCGTACTCTGTATATTCTTCTATCTACTGTAGATGCGCCCCCCCTTGTACGGCCGCCACGATAGTGCCAACATGACCCGATGCGAACGCGGACATTGATCCTACAACAGAAAGTGACCAGACTTTCGGGAACGCCCAGCGTCAACGGGGAACGGACAAGACGACCCCTTATTGCCTAACTTGCTCACTGCATCATCACCCCCTCCCGCCCCCTTTCCTTGCCCTTCCTTCCACTTGATCATACCGCGTCGTCTATTTCTAGACTTACCTGAATGCTGCCGATGCCGATGCTGCTACTGCTGTACCTTCGGCTGGGATCGACCGGGGACCAGTGGGCAACAACACTCCATGGCACATCAGTGAGCGGCCGCCACACCAGGGGGCAAGAAGCGGAGCGGGGAAAGGGCAGCGCGGGTGAGACGCCTCTTCGAGAAGCCCAGAGGATGGCGCAGATCCTCTCTCTCCATCCGCCTCCGGCTGTTGGTCTGCTTGGTCTCCAGGGTGCTCCGTTCAACCCCTGCATACCGTTGTGCTACTGGAGGATGGGGTACGATGGGGTGTCAGCAGGCTGGGCAGGTGACGAAGAAGACTGAGCATTCCGCGTACTGGCGCGGCGCTGAATTGGATATGCGAGGCAGAGACATCGACGGTGACGAGTGGCAACCAGTTTTTTGTATTTCTCCATATATTTAGGACCAACCATCCTACCTACTACCTTGCTAGACGCAATAACTCCGGGCGCGGTGGGGGGAGTGTGAATAAACCACCACTAAAACAAAACGAGATCGACGAGTCCTCGGTGCCACGGCACGTGCGGTGGCCAAGGGGACATGGCTTCTTTCTATCGAGCTCCTCTCCACGTCGTATATACATGTATACGCGTATCATTGCGGAACTGGCTTTTTTTTTTTCTGACCGACCATCAGGCAGTTGCTGCTAATGATGATGCGGGGGAAGAGGGGAGGAGGGAAACGAGGGGTTGAAAGACAAGCGGCGGAGAGGGGGGGGAGGGGCATAAGAAAGTAGAGAAAGGAGAAGATCTCCCCCATCATCATCTCCACGCTCCACGCTCGCGCCGAGTGACTGGCTGCTCTTGCTCAGCTCAGCCCACCCACCGGCGCGCGCTCTTGAACATCCTGACCCAGGGACCGAACTCGCCCCATTCTTCAATCTGACTGGGCGGCACGTAGCTGGCCACGTCGGCCATGATGGTGCGCTCGGGGTGCGGCATGAGCGCGAGGACCCGTCCGTCCTTGCTTCGGACACCTGCCACGCCGCCGGGGCTTCCGTTGGGGTTGGCCGGGTAGCACTCGGGTTCGGCGGTGCGGCGGCGGTTGTCGACGTAGCGCAGCGGCGCGAGGCCCTCGGCGCCGAGCGTGTCGAGCTGGGTTGGCGAGGTGAACGTCGCGCGGCCCTCGCCGTGCGAGACGGCGATGGGGAGAGACGAGCCGCTCATGCGTGGAGAGACGAAGCGTCGCGCGCCGCTGTCGTCGATGTGAACATCCAAACCGGGCCTCAAACTGCCTGCTGGCGTTGTGCGAGAAGGTGGGCCAGTCTGCGGCGCCGGGGATGAGTTCCTTGAGCCTCGTGATCATCTGGCAACCGTTGCAGACGCCTAGGGAGAAGGTGTCTGGGCGGTTGAAAAATGCCTCGAACTCCTGACGTGCGTGCTTGTGCTCGAGGATGGACTGCGCCCAACCCACGCCGGCGCCGAAGACGTCGCCGTACGAGAAGCCGCCGCCAGCGGCGAGACCGACAAACTCGCGCAGCGAGCGGCCTGCCAAGATGTCGCTCATGTGAACATCGATCGGGTCGAAGCCGGCCGCTTTGAAGGCGAACGCCATCTCGGCGTGGCTGTTGACGCCGACCTCGCGCAGGATGGCGACCTTGGGTGCGTTCTTGAAGAAGCTGCCCACCGTCGCCGTCAGGGGGTTGATGTCCTCCTTGGGCTGGAACTTGAGGTTGAATGAGATGCCCGGGTCTTCGGAATCGGCGATGGTGGCGAACTCGCTGTCGGCGTGCGCCGGGCTGTCGCGCTCCCTCTGCATGGCGTACGACGTGCGCGACCACCACTGCTGCATCTCGACGCGGTCCAGGTTGACGATGGGTGTCGGGTCCTGGTACCGGATGGTGAGTTCCTGCTTGGAGGTGGCCTTCACAACACCGATCTTGCGGATGAGGCCCTTGGGAGGTCCGCAGGTGGCGAAGCAGCGCTTAAAGTTGGTCTCGTCCGACTTGCGAACCTGGAACACGGCACCGAGCTCCTCGTTGAAGAGGGCTTCGAGGACGTCGGCCGCCGAGCCGGACTTGGCAACGCCATCCAGGAGAAGTTCAACACCGCAGCGACCGGCAAACATCATCTCGGCGACGGTCGTGATGAGACCACCGTCGGAGCGGTCGTGGTAGGCGAGCACAACGCCGCTCTCGTGGAGTTGCTTGAGTGCGTCGAAGTAGTCCGTGATGAGACCGACGTTGCGGACATCAGGGGCCTCGTTACCGAGCTGACCGAAGGATTGTGCGAGCGCTGAGCCGCCCATGGCCTGCTTGCCCTCGGCAAGATCGACGTACAGCAGGATGGTCTCGCCAACGTCCTCGACGGGCGGAGCTGGGGCGTCACGTCCGCCTGACGTCTCGACGACAGAGACAGCGTGATGATGCGAGACGGCGCGTCACGCTCTGTGCCTGCCGACTCGCGGTCCTCACGACGCCTCATCGAGGTCGAGTCCTTTCCGACGGGAATGGAGATTTTCAGCTCGGGGCAGAGCTCCTTGCCAATAGCGTGGACGGCCTCGTAGAGGCGGGCGCCCTCACCGGGGTGGTTGACGGCAGCCATCCAGTTGGCGGAGAGCTTCACGCGGTTCAGCTCGCCGATAATGTCGGCAGCGCCGAGGTTCAGCAAACTCTCAGCGACGGCCATGCGCGCGGACGCGGCGGCGGAGATGAGCGCCAGCTGGGGACGCTCGCCCATGGCCATGGCCTCACCCGTCCTCTTACTAGAGCCGATCTGGTACGACGTGGCCGTGACAGCACAGTCGGCAACGGGCGTCTGCCACGGGCCAACCATCTGGTCACGCACGGTAAGGCCACCGACCGTCCGGTCGCCAATGGTGATGAGGAATGATTTGGAGCCGACGGCCGGCATGCGGAAGACACGCTCCGTCGCAGCGGTGATGAGATCCGCATTGGAAGCGGTGTCGCTGACGGCGGACTTGAGCGAGGCGACAGCGTTGAACGTCGGCAGGTCAAGCTCGCGCCTCTCAACAACACGCTCGAGGCGGCGGCCGGGAGGGAAGAGGGCGGACATGGGGAGGTCGATGGGCAGGGGGTGCTCGGTGGAGTCACGGTCGCTGAGGATGAGCTTGGAGTTGCCGTTCTCGTCTTCGGCGAGGACGGTGCCGACGTCGGAAAAGGGGCAACGCTCGCGGCCTGTTTTGCGCTTGTTTAGCAAAGAGCACTTGCACATGTATCACCCGCGAAGAGAGACACTTACGGCAGATGCTGACGAAGCGGTTCAGGGAGTCCTTGTTGACAAGAAGGACATAACGCTCCTGAGACTCGTTGGCCCAGAGCTGAAGGGGACTGAGGCTCTTGTCGTCGGTGTGAACTTGACGAAGCTCAAACTTGCCGCCGAAGCCGGCGTCCTTGACGAGTTCGGGCAGAGCGTTGGAGAGACCGCCGGCGCCGACGTCGTGGATGAAGGCGATGGGCGACTCGTCTCCGAGAGACACACAGGTGTCGATGACCATCTGGGCGCGACGCTCCATCTCAGGGTTGCCGCGCTGGACACTGGCAAAGTCAAGTTCGGCCGTGTCTTCCGTCGAGGCGGCACTGGAGGCGGCACCGCCACCGAGACCGATGAGCATGGCGGGACCGCCGAGAACGATGACGTGGGCGCCGTCGTTGACGTCCTTGGGATCCTTGAGCGCGTGCTGGGGGCGGACGGTGCCGACACCACCGGCGATCATGATGGGCTTGTGGTAGCCGCGCCACTCGGGCTCGTCGTCGTGCCGACGTTGGTGAGCAGCGTGCGGAAGCAGCCGAGCAGGCACGGGCGGCCAAACTCGTTGTTGAAACGAGCGCTTCCGATGGGGGCCTCGAGCATGATATCGAGGCTGCTGGCGAAGTGGGCGGGCTTTCCAATGTCGACCTCCCAAGGGGCCTTCTCATCGGGGATCAGCAGATCAGAGACCCAGAAGCCGCAGAGACCGGCCTTGGGCTTAGAGCCGCGACCGACGGCGCCCTCGTCACGGATCTCACCGCCGGCACCGGTGGCAGCACCGGGGAAGGGGGAGATGGCTGTGGGGTGGTTGTGGGTCTCGACCTTGGCGAGGATGTGAACGACCTCCTTGGTCAGTTTCCAGGAGCCTGTAGAGTAGTCGGGGGCCCAGAAGGCGGCCGTCTCACCCTCGAGGACGGCGGCGTTGTCGCTGTAGGCGGAGACGGTGTAGTCGGGAGTGGTCTTGTGGGTGTTGCGGATCATGCCGAACAGGCTGTCGGCCATCTGCTCGCCGTCGATGGTCCAGCTGGCGTTGAACTGCTTGTGCCGGCAGTGCTCCGAGTTGACCTGAGCGAACATGAAAAGCTCGACGTCGTGCGGGGGGCGGCCCTGGCGCTTGAAGACCTCGACTAGGTACTCCATCTCGGACTCGTCGAGGGCGAGGCCGAACTTCTTGTTGTGATCGCGAAGGCGCTCGAGCGGGGTCTGGGCGCCGGCGGCAAAGATGTCGACAATCTCGAGGGGGTAGCGCTGGCCCTCGACAAACATGGTGTTGAGGTCAGGTTGGGCGAGGCCAATGGTCTCGGTCATGCGGTCGTAGATGATGTCCTTGAAGGGGATCGCATCCGTGTCCTTGGTCAGGCCTTGGTCGAAGGTCCCGGTGATGCCTGGCCCCTCTCGATGCGCTCGATCTGGTCC